AGTAATGCTCAAAATTTTCTAAGTGAGACTTCAGCAGTATGTGAACCAAGAACTTCCAGATGTTCAAGCTGGTTTTAGAAAAGGCAGAGGAACCAGAGATCAAATTGCCAATATCCGCTGAATCATCCAAAAGCAAGAGAGTTCCAGAAAAACATCTATTTCTGTTTTATTGACTATGCCAAAGCCTTCAACTCTGTGGATCACAATAAACTGTAGAAAATTCTGAAAGAGATGGGAATACAGAACACCTGACCTGCCTCTTGAGAAACCTGTATGCAGGTCAGGTAGCAACAGTTAGAACTGGACATGGAACAACAGACTGGTTCCAAATAGGAAAGGGAGTATGTCAAGGTTGTATATTGTCACCCTGCTTATTTAGCTTATATGCAGAGTACATCATGACAAAAGCTGGGCTGGAAGAAGCACAAGCTGGAATCAAGATTGCCGGGAGAAATATCAATAACCTCATATATGCAGATGACACCACCCTTATGGCAGAAAGTGAAGAGGAACTAAAAAGCCTCTTGATGAAAGTGAAAGAGGAAAGTGAAAAAGTTGGCGTAAAGCTTAACATTCAGAAAACTAAGATCATGGCATCAGGTCCCATCACCTCATGGGAAATAGATGGGGAGACAGTGGGAACAGTGTCAGGCTTTATTTTGGGGGGCTCCAAAATCACTGCAGATGGTGACTGCAGCCATGAAATTAAAAGACACTTACTCCTTGGAAGGAAAGTTATGACCAACCTAGATAGCATATTAAAAAGCAGAGACATTACTTTACCAACAAAAGTCTGTCTGGTCAAGGCTATGGTTTTTCCAGTGGTCATGTATGGATGTGAGAGTTGGACTGTGAAGAAAGCTGAGCACCGAAAAATTGATGCTTCTGAACTGTGGTGTTGGAGAAGACTCTTGAGGGTCCCTTGGACTGCAAGGAGATCCAACCAGTCCATCCTAAAGGAGATCTGTCCTGGGTGTTCATTGGAAGGACTGATGCTGAAGCTGAAACTCCAATACTTTGGCCACCTCATGTGAAGAGTTGACTTACTGGAAAAGACCCTGATGCTGGGAGGGATTGGGGGCAAGAGGAGAAGGGGGTGACAGAGGATGAGATGGCTGGATGGCATCACTGACTCGATGGGCATGAGTTTGAGTAAACTCCAGGATTTGTGACGGACAGGGAGGCCTGGTGTGCTGCGAGTCATGGGGTCGCAAAGAGTCGGACACGACTGAGCGACTGAACTGAACTGAACCCAGCATTAGTGCAGACTTCGTAGATTAAGGGCACGGTTCTCCCTAGAACTCTCCTTATCAGACACCAGCTGAAAATTCTGGGGCCTTGGGCCACCTATGCTTCTGATTAAACTGGTTATAAATTCAGTGGTTCCTAATAGCCCCTTGGGTTCAGTAATTTGGTAGAATGACTCACAGAACTCAGGAAAACACTATACTTAGGATTAGTGTTTTATTATAAAGTTTACGGATTAAAAACAGCCCAAAGAAGAGACCCTTAGGGGAAGGTCCATGGAGCGTCCCAAGGCAGAATTTCCATGTTTTCTCCCTATGGAATCAGAGCATGCCACCATCCCAGCACGTTTATGTGTTCATCAACCAGGAAGCTCATCCAGAGTTTTTAATTGGGATTTTCATTATCTGTGGTTGATTTGATAATTGACTGTGTGACTGAACTCAGTCTCCAGCCACCGTTTCCTCCTTGGAGGTTGGGAGGTCAGGTTGCTATCACATGGCTCAAAGCCTCAACCCTGTAGTCACATGGTTGACCATTCCAGCACTGCTAGCCTCTATCGTGTGCCTCTCTAGGGACTCCAGTGAGTCACTTCATTAACGTAAACTCAGATGTAGTCCCAGTAACAGAGATGCTCCTGTCACTCAAGAAATTGCAAGTGAGTAGCTTCCTCCCAAGAACCCCAGGACCAAGACCAGACAGATTCTTTATTATGTAGCATGTGGGTAATGTGATAGCAATAGTCCAGAAAAGAGATGATGGTGGCCAGGACTAGAATATTAGAAGATGATATAGTCAGAAATTGTGATATTCAAAAAATAGTTTGAAAGTAGAGTGACAGAACTCAGAGAAGCATTAGATGTGAGATATGAATGAGAGGATAATCCCCTGGTGGAGGGCATGGCAACCAACTCCAGTATTCTTGCCGGGAAAATCCCATGGTCAGAGGAGCCTGGTCCATGGGGTCACAAAGAGTCAGACATGACTGAGGCAACTGAGCACACATGCATGAATGAGAGGAGCTAAAGATGACTCCAGAGAAGCTAGCTTGAGTAATTGGATGAAAGTATTTGGACTTAACTGGCTTATGAAAGATTGATTGGCAGCAGATTGGGGCAGAAAGAGTGTTGGGAGGAAAAATGAATTTTTTTCATGTTAATTTATATATACCTGGTAAACTTTCAAGTGAATATGTCAAGTAAGAGGACAGGTCTTCAGTTCAGCAGGATGTTTCCCATTGAAAATGTACATTTGAAAGTTGTTATGCTATAGTACGAGTATACGCTCAATTGAGTCTGACTCTTTGCAACCCTGTGAACTGTAGTCCACCAGGCATCTCTGTCCATGGGATTTCCCAGGCAAGAATACTAGAGCGGGTGGTCATTTCCTTCTGCAGGGAATCTTCCTGACTCAGGGATCGAACCCATGTCTCTTGTGGCTTCTGCATTAGAAGGTAGATTCTTTACCACCAAGCCACCTGGGAAGCCCCACTGTTAGGTTATAGAGGCTATTTAAAATCCATGGAACTAGATAACATCACCTAGAGACTGTGTTGATTGTAAATAAGTAGAAGAGGTGTGAAGACTGATCCTTTTGAGACACTGCAACATTTGAGATGGGGAAGGTGAAGAAGAATGAATAAAGGGAGGCTAAGAAGGGATTAGGAAAATCAGGGATGTGACTTTTTATTACCAACCCTGGTTCTTGTCCTTCCTTAATCAACAGAAATTGATAAGAGGCCTGACAAGAAGGCAAGCCTTCCTTGGGGCCCCTACTGCAGCAAGGAGGAGTGAAACAGATAACAGGTTCCCTTGCTCACTCCCCAAGGGGGCTGAGCTGGTTCCTTAAATGGGGGGAGGGTAGGAGTGTGTCCAGGGGTTGGGCCAAAGGGGTGGCTTAGGTGGTTTGCCCACCCCTTTCGTGGCATTGAGTGCAGGGGGCACGCACAGCACCGTACATTTGCTCCTGGCACCATGTTTTTGCTCCCAGTTCTTCAGAAGTGACTTCAGAAGGGCTTCCCTGATAGCTCAGTTGGTAAAGAATCGGCCTGCAATGCAGGAGACCCCGGTTTGATTGCTAGGTCGGGAAGATATGCTGGAGAAGGGATAGGCTACCTACTCCAGTATTCTTGGGCTTCCCTTGTGGCTCAGCTGGTAAAGAATCTGCCTGCAATGTGGGAGACCTGGGTTCAATCCCTGGGTTGGAAAAATCCCCTGGAAAAGGGAAAGGCTACCCACTCCATTATTCTGGCCTGGAGAATTCCATGGACTGTATAGTCCATGGGGTCACAAAGAGTCAGACACGACTGAGCGACTTTCACTTACTCTGTTACGTCTATACCATTTCTGTCCTTTATTGTGCCCATCTGTGCATGAAATGTTCCCTTGGTATCTCTGATTTTCTTGAAGAGATCTCTAGTCTTTCCCATTCTACTGTTTTCCTCTATTTCTTTGCATTGATCACTGAGGAAGGCTTTCTTATCTCTCCTTGATATTCTTTGGAACTCTACATTCAGATGGGTATATCTTTGCTGTTTTCCTTTGCCTTTCACTTCTCTTCTTTTCTCAGCTATTTGTAAGACCTCCTCAGACAACCATGTTGCCCTTTTGCATTTCTTTATCTTGGGGATGGTCTTGATCACTGCCTCTTGTACAATGTCACGAACCTCCGTCCATAGTTTTTCAGGCACACTGTCTGCTAGATCTAATCCCTTGTATCTATTGGTCACTTCCACTGTATAATCGTAAGGGATTTGATTTAGATCATACCTGAATGGTCTAGTGGTTTTCCCTACTTTCTTTAAGTTTGAATTTGGCAATAAGGAGTTCATGATTGAGCCACAGTCAGCTCCCTGTCTTGTTTTTGCTGACTGTGTAAAGCTTCTCCATCTTTGGCTGCAAAGAATATCATCAATCTGATTTCGATATTTACCATCTGGTGATGCTCATGTGTAGTATCTTCTCTTGTGTTGCTGGAAGAAGGTGTTTGCTATGACCAGTGCATTCTCTTGGCAAAACTCTGTTGGCCTTTGCCTTGCTTCATTTTGTACTCCAAGGCCAAATTTGCCTGTTACTCCAGGTATCTCTTGGCTTCCTACTTTTGCATTCTAGTCCCCTTTATAATGAAAAGGGTGTTAGTTTTTTGGGTGTTAGTTCTGGAAGGTCTTGTAGGTCTTCATAGAACCATTCTTTGGCCAGTTCAAGGGTTTTTCTAAGGTTTACCACATACTGAGAAATGTGGCTTCTTCTTATTTTATCACTTGGTAAGTAAATGGAGAAATGCTAATTGGCTTATTTTGCAAAATCATAAAAACTGAAAACATTCTGGTCTTGAGGAGGCAAGGCCAGGATTTTTTCATGGATTTATCCATTGTAGTCACATGCAGGCCATTTAGTTGGTTGTGCTTTTCTTTCTCATATACTAAGTATATAGTCTTTCCTTAGTTCATAGGTCTTTTATAAGAATTAACTGATACAATGATTGTGATCTGGTATTTAAATCCTAGGATCAAGTACAGGTATAAATTAGTGATTTTGGTATTTGATAATATGCTAAAATGTTTCCCAGTGATAGTATATACTGTATTTGCTCTGAAAAGATGAATGGTTACTCACCAGGAGGAATAATCTATAGGATTTTGTATAATCTGCCACCTTTGGCATTTAGATATGTTGATCTAAATCAACATAATATGTAATATGTAGATATGTTGAATTCTACCCTTCTATTTTAATTGTTTCTCTGTTTTGTTTCAGTTGCTGATTGTTGGAGGTTCTTTTGGTCTTCGTGAGTTTTCTCAAATTCGTTATGATGCTGTGAAGATTAAAGTAAGAACTCTCATTGGAGTTTGATATGTATATATGTATATTTTGGTTTATGAGACATGGATACTTAAAATACTAAGCTGTCTGAATTTTATCTCACTTTTTTAAAAAATATTCATCTATTTATTTGGCTGCACCGAGTCTTAGTTGCAATATGTGGGATCTATTTTCCTGAGCAGGGATTGAACCCAGGGCCCCTGCATTGGGAGTGTGGAGTCTTAGCCAGTGGACCACCAAAGATGTCCTTATCTTGCTTTTTAAGTCTGATGAATGATCTTTGAGCTCTTTTATAAAACATTTCTTTAAAATTTTTATATAATGTTTTTAAATTTTTTATTATTGATGTTTGATTGTGCTGTGTCTTCACTGCTGTGTGAGGACTTTGATGAGCTTCCGTGAGCAGGCGCTGCTCTCCAGTTGTGGCGCACGGCTTCTGCTGTCGTGGAGCACAGGTTCCAGAGCATGTGTGGCGCATGGCCTTACTTGCTCTGCAGCATGTGGGATCTTCCTGGACCGGGGATTGAACCTGTGTCCTCTGCTTTGGCAGGCAGATTCTTAACCACTGGACCACCGGGGAAGTCCTATACAATTTTTTTTTCCTATACAATTTTTAAAGATTACTTTCCATTTAGAGTTACTACAGAATATTAGCTATATTCCCCATGATGTATCCTTGAGCCTATCGTACACCCAGTAGTTTATACTTTCCACCACTTTACCCCTGTATTCCCCATCCCCTCCCCCACTGGTAACCACTAGTTTGTTTTCTGTATTTGTGTGAGTCTGCTTCTCTTTTGTTGGGCTTCCCTGGTGGCTCAGATGGTAAAGCGTCTGCCTGCAGTGCGGGAGACCCAGGTTTGATCCCTGGGTCGGGAAGATCCCCTGGAGAAGGAAATGGCAACCCACTGCAGTACTCTTGCCTGAAAAATTCCATGGACGGAGGAGCCTGGTGGGCTACAGTCCATAGGGTCCCAAAGAGTCGGATATGACTGAGTGACTTCTCTTTCTTTCACTTTTCCTTTTTATTATATTTACTAGTTTGTTGTATTTTTTAGATTTCACGAATACATGGTATGTGTATGAATATGTGGAGAAAGAGACATAGATAATGAATTTATAGGGGTCTTTTCTATAGTTTGCTTTTATGGTAGGACTAGTTTGTTTTCTGTATTTGTGAGTCTGCTTCTTTTTTGTTACATGTACTAGTTTGTGTAATTACTACCAAGTCAGGTTTGTTGTTACAGAAGAATTCTGGTTAATTCATTCAAAAGTATGTAGCTTTTGTTTGTGGCACATATCTGATACTTGTTTTTTTCCCAAGTATAGTTAATTCTGGAACAGCAGAGGTTTAGACTATGCTGCTCCACTGGTACAATGGACTTTTTTCAATAAATACTGCAGTACTTTACAGTCTGCAGCTGGCTGAATCCATGCATGGGGAACCCACAGATATGGCAGGCCAAGTGTATATTTATTGAGGAAAATCCTTGTATAAGTGGACTCTCAAAAGAACAAACTCATGTTGTTCAAGAGTCAGCTGTATTTCATTAGCAGACCTCAGTAATGTTGGTGGGAAAGTAAGAGTATTGAAAGCTTATTCAGTTTTTTCAGTTAATCTTATGGTTTAAGAGAAATACCAACTCTAGCTAGTGTTAAAGACAGTATGTATTAGAATAAATATTAAATTAAAAAGGAATATATGGTTTCTGTGAGGGAATAGACCAGTTATCAACTGAGTTTTAAAGTTTCTGTTAGCATCCCAATTATTTTATTAAGGACTTTTTGCCCTTTTGCTCTAAGATGAAAGTTATAGTAATCTGACTTTTGGAAATGGGATCTCATATATATATTTGAAAAATAATTGAGTATTTGTTGCGTTTATCTAGATCCTACAGATAAAGATCCAAGAAACTGGTTCTTATAAAGCTTATAGCATAATCAAGGCTGTGCTGTGCTGTACTTAGTCACCCAGTCATGTCCGACTCTTTGCAACCCTATGGGCTGCAGCCCACCAGGCTCCTCTGTCCATGGGGATTCTCTCAGCAAGAATACTGTAGTGGGTCACCATACCCTCCTTGAGGGATATTCCCAACTGGGTCAAACCCAGGTCTCCTGCATTGCAGGCAGACTCTCTACTGTCTGAACCACCAGGGAAGCCCAGGAGTCCTGGAGGGGGTGGGCTGTCCCTTCTTCAGGGGAGCTTCTGACCCAGCGATCACACTGGGGTCTTCTGCATTGCAGGCGGATTCTTTACCAGCTGAGCTACCCAGAAAGCCCCATTATCAAGGTTGGGAGACTTCTAATATAAAAATGTATCCAAACATACAGTATGACAATGCCTAGTGAAATGGTAGATTAGAATTTTGCATAACACATTGCTAGAACTTCAAGGAGAGATACATAGTTTAGATTTGGGAAAGGGATACCAAAGAAGGTCTGCTAGAGGTATCAACCTTTGAATTAAGGCTTTAAGAATGATAAGAGTTAAATGATAGCTAAATGATGAAAATGATTAGTATTATATAACATAGAGGGACTTGGGCATATGGTCAGATTTTCAGTTTAGAACTCTCTGGTAAGAGTACAGGATGGATGGAGATTAGGGGAGCAAGATAGGAGGGAAGAGAGTGTTTCAGTTGGAGATAGAGACCTGTTAAGATACTTTGGCAGTAATATAGATGAACAATACTGGAATCTGAAGTAAAACATAGGCAGTGACAATAGGAATGAATGGATTCTAAAAGAATTTGTAGCAGCAAATTGATAGTGATATATGCAATATTAAAATCTAAATAAATATGGGATGACTTAAGGCTTTGGTTTTAAGGACTAGGTAAATTTTCACAGCAAGGGAGAATGAGGGAGATTGCAGTAACATAAGAGGTCTAGAGGATGAGGTCAAGAGTAAAGAGAACAAAGTTGAGAGAAATGAGGTTGATTGAAGTTGAGAGGATAAGATTGGTTGAGGTCTGTGGAAGGAGGTTTAGAGGACAAAGTTTAGCTGAGAAGGATCAGAGGACAAAGATCTACTGAGAGTGAGAGGTTCAGGTTGGTTGATACTGAGAAGTCAGACTCTAATGAAGTCAAGAGTCAGTGTTTAGGTGAGGTTGAGTTCAAACAAGGTTGAGAGGGTAAGTTGGACTAACATTGAGAGGAACTGAGAAGACTGGTTGAGGTTGACAGGAATTATAAGGGTTGAGAGGCTGAGATTAAGGGAGAGTCAAGAGGGAAAATTCTTAAAGAGATGGGAATACCAGACCACGTTACCTGCCTCCTGAAAAACCTGCGTGCAGCTCAAGAAGCATCAGTTAGAACTGACATGAAACAATGGACTGGTTCAAAATTGGGAAAGGAGTACATCAAAACTGTATGTTGTCACCCTGCTTATTTAACTTAAATGCAGAGTATGCCATGTGAAATCCTAGGCTGGATGAAGCACAAGCTGGAATCAAGATTGCCGGGAGAAATATCGATAACCTCAGATATGCAGATGATACCACCCTAATAGCAGAAAGTGAAGAGGAACTAAAGACCTTCTTGGTGTAGGTGAAAGAGGAAAGTGAAAAAGCTGGCTTAAAACTCAACATTCAAAAAACTTAAGATCATGGTATCTGGTCCTGTCACTTCATGGCAAATAGATGAGGAAAAAATGGAAGCAATGGCAGATTTTATTTTCTTGGGCTCCAAATCACTGCAGATGGTGACTGCAGCAGTGAAATTAAAAGATGCTTGCTCCTTGGAAGAAAAACTATGACAAACCTGGATAGCATATTAAAAAGTAGAGACATTACTTTCCCAACAAAGGTCCATATAGTCAAAGCTGTGGTTCATCCAGTAGTCATGTACAGATGTGAGAGTTGGATCATAAAAAAGGCTGAGCTGTTAAGAAGTGATGCTTTTGAACTGTGGTGCTGGGGAAGACTCTTGAGAGTCCCTTGGACTGCAAGGAGATCAAACCAGTTAGTCCTAAAGGAAATTAACTTTGAATATTCACAGAAGGACTGATGCTGATACCGAAGCTTCAGCAGTTTGGCCACCTTATACAAAGTGCTGACTCATTGGAAATTGAGTCAGAAAATGGTGGGAAAGATTGAGGGTAGGAGGAGAAGGGGCAACAGTGGATGAGGTGGTTGGATGGCATCACTGAATCAATGGACATCAGTTTGAGCAAACTCCAGGAGATAGTGAAGGACAAGGAAACCTGGTGTGCTGAAGTCCATGGGGTTGCAAAGAGTCAGATATGACTTAGTGACTGAACAACAGCAACTGGAGGCAGAGGGCCAAGCTTCAAAGCCAAGTTGTGCCTCTTTGATAAGTCATTCAGACTCCCTGTGTTCCATTATCCTTGCTTTGATCAAATAATACTACTTATGTCATACACTTTTTTGTGGGTTATAGGAAATAATAAATGTCAGAATACGTTGCATATAGCAGGTGCTTGGTAAATTTTTAGCTGCTATTATTTGTAGTAGTGGTCATAGTACTATTGAGATATTAGTTGTCATACAATTTGATAGATTGTAGAGATTTTCCCACATTTTTGTAATCTACCATGCCATCTGAGCCATGCTTATATTAACTTTTTAAATTGCAAATGGAATCTAACAGACTTAAGTAACTTATGGCTGCTTTTATTTTTCTACAGATTGATCCTGAGTTAGAAAAAAAGCTGAAAATGAATAAAGTGTCATTGGAATCAGAATATGAGGTACGGTATGCTAATGTAGCAATATTTCTAGTCTGTGACTGGTTCTGTCTACCTTAAGGTAAATTCAAATTATTACCAGTACAGAAAAAAAAATTACCTTAAATATACATTATTGGAAAAACTATGTGGTTGTTTGAGAAGACAATAAACATGGATCTGGTTTTCATATACTATGAGTAAATTCTGGATGGATCAAGAATTTAAAAATAAAAAAACTCAAAAGGCTAAAAGTACTAGGAGTAAAAAATGAAGTTTCTTTTTTGTGTTCTTGAGTCAGAAAAGCCTATTTAAATGTGATGAGAAATAGAGATGCTTTAAAAGTAAATATTCAGAGGTACCATCTAAAAAAAATTGTGTAATATAAAGTCAGTGGTTAGATGAGAAATCCTAAAAATATTGTTTATCCTTATCATGATGAATTAATTAATTTTAAATACAAAGAGCAAATCAGTATACAGTTTCAACAGCTCAGTTGGAAGTGTAAACATGGGCAAAACATGTAATGAGTTCAGAGACAAGGAAATAAATAGCATTTTTTAAACATAAAGAGATGTTCAATTTATAATAGGAATGCTAATTAACATTATAATGAAGTGTCATTTTCCAGCTATCTGATTAACAAAATCAAGGAGTTAATAGTACGTTTCATTATAGGATGTAGGGAAGGAGGACATTCTCCATCTCTTATTGTATTAAAAAAAAAAAACCCTACAGATAAATGCTGAATCTGGTTTAGAGAAAAGATAACCCTCCCGCACTGTTGGTGAGATTGTAAATTGGTGCAGCTACTATGGAAAACAATATGGGGGTTCCTCAAAAAACTAAAAATAGAGTTGCCATATGATCCAGCAATCCCACTTCTGAACATATATCTGGAGAAAACTGTAATTCAGAAAAATATATGTACCCCTATGTTTACAGTTGCACTATTCACAATAGGCAAGACATGGAAATAAATGATTATTGACAAATGAATGGGTAAAGAGGATGTGGAACATATGTACAATGAAATACTACTCAGCCATAAAAAAAGAATGACACCATTTGCAGCAACATGGATGGATCTAGACATCATTATACTACGGGAAGTAAGTCAGAAAGAGAAAAACAAATGCCATATGATATCACTTATATGTGGAATCTAACATATGACACAAATGAACATATCACAAAACAGAAACAGACTCTGATACAGACTTGGGGTTGCCAAGTCTTGATAGAGAGAACAGACTTATGGCTTGCCAAGGTGGGGGCAGGTGGGGGAGGGAAGGATTGAGAGTTTGAGATTAGTAGATACAAAGTATTATATACAGAATGTGTAAACAAGAAGATCCTACTGCATAGCACAGGGAAGTATATTCCACATTTTGTGATAATCCATCATGGAAAAGAATATGAAAAAGAATGCATGTGTGTGTATGTATACATATATATGTATAACTGAAGAACTTTTGCCATAGCAAAAACTAACACTACATTGTAAATCAACTGTAATTCAACAAAATAAATTTTTTAAAAAACATGTAGACTCTGTTCCTTTTTTAATAGTTTTATTCTGATGAGGGGAAAGATAGGCAGTAATATCAAGAGCAAGAAAAATTCCAGATCCTATAAAGAAATATAATATTTCTTCAGTTTTTAAGCTTGACATGCAGTTGATTTATTTACTAGAATTATAAGTGAGGACCTATTGAATTCTTTCTGCTCATTTATTCAGTTAGGTCCTAGCCAAACTCACAGGGCTCCTATACTAATATTAATGCTCTAATTTTTGTGGCTCTGTAGAAAATAAAGGATTCCACCTTTGATGACTGGAAAAATATTCGAGGACCCAGGCCTTGGGAAGATCCTGATCTCCTCCAAGGACGAAATCCAGAAATCCTTAAGACTAATAAGACAACTTGACCATGCTGATTCTGTTTTTACTTTTTTTATTTTTAATAAAAATGTTATCAGCTGGAATTCCAACCATATACTCCTATCCAATGGAGAGAAAATTCCAGACCTGCAGAAGCCTAGATAAGAGTAATTTGTCAAGTACAGGTTTGTATAAGGCCCAGCTCTTACATTGGCAAATGAAAGTAACAATGTTGATCATATGTATTTTTTACTGCTCAATAAACATGTGAATACTAATACTTAAAGAGTGTCCTTTATTCTACTCCCAATGTGCATGCATGCTAAATCACTTCAGTCATGTCTGACTCTTTACAAGCCTATAGACCATAGCCCACCAGGGTCCTCTGCCCATGGGATTCTCCTGGTCTAATTGAAATCTCTAGAATACTTCTTCCAACAACAGTGGAATACACTCTTCTCAAACTCACACATGACAGTTATCAAGACAACACTCTTGGTCATAAACCACATGTTAAAAAATTTAAAAGAAAGGAAATTATACAAAGCATGCTCTTAAACCACAATGAAATTAAATTAGAAATCAGTAACAGAAAGCTACTTGGAAAATCCAAATACTTGGAGATGAATTAATACACTTCTGAGAGAGTCAATTCCTAGGTAGGTTGATAAGAAGTCCAGGGTTCCTAGGGAGGAGAAAGCGGTCCAGAGCCCTCGAGAAGGAAAAAGGGATCTGGGGCTCTCAAAAAGAAAAGGACATTCTTTTCTACATTGCTTTGTCTTATTCAGTATAACAATGTGTCTTGAGGACATGTTTCTCCTTAACAAGAACTTTCTGACTAATCTGTCATCTTAAAATGTATATTAGGGGAGTGGGTCTGGTAAGATCTTTCTATTGTTCATTCTAATCTTGCTAATTAAAGATGTATGTTGTGGGAGTAGGTCTGAAAAAAGTATACAAGGCCTTGATAAGATTAGCGAGGGGGGCATTCTCTGTCCCCCTTCTGATGTCTCTATCAGAAGGTTTCTCTGTCCCTTTTCTTACTTTAATAAAACTCTGCTACACAGAAGTTCTTGAGTGATCAAGCCTGATCCCTGGACCCAAAGCTAAATCTTCAGAGATAACGAAACCAACATCGTTCACCATGAGCTATCACTTCCAAATAACACATGTCACAGAAGTCTAAAGAGAAACTTAAAATATTTTGAAGTAAGTGAAGCTGAAATACAACTTACCAAAATTAGTTGGGTATAGCAAAAGCGGAGTTTTGAGGGAAATTAGTATCATTGAATGTGTGTGTTAAAAAGATCTATTAATCTAATGAAAAAGAAGAGCAAATTAAATTCAAAGCAAGCAGAAGAAAAGAAATAATTAGAGCAGAAATCTATTGAGAAAATCAACGAAACCAATAGCTGGTTCTTTAGAAAGAGCAATACAATTGATAAACCTCTAGCCAAACAGAAAAAAAAAAGAGAGATAACACAAATTACTGATACTAGAAATGAAAAAAGGCCATCAGTATTGGCCCTATAGATGAAGAGTAATAAAGGAAGATTATGAACAACTTTATGCCCACAAATTTGATAATTAGATGAATCAATTACATATCCTTTCAATTCCTTGACATTTCATTTCCTTGAAAGATGCAGTCTGCTAAAACACAAGAAGAAATAGGTATTCTGAATAAGCCCATATCTTTTAAAGAAATTGAATCAATCATTAATGTTCTAACACAGAAGGCACCAAACACAGATAAGTTCAGTCGTGAATGCTACCAAATATTTAAGGGAGAACTTACACCAGTTCTCTGCAACTTCTTGGAAACAAGCAGAGGAAATACTTCCTGACATTCTTTGAGGTCTACATTATCGTAATACCAAAGGCAAAGAAAGACACAACAAGAAAGAAAAACCATAGACCAACATCCCTCATGAAGATGGATGCAAAAGTCCTCAAGAAAATATTAGTAAGACAAATCCAACAGTGTATAAATCCCAGGTATATCTGAACTGGTATACAAGGCTCTGTACAAGGCTCAACATCGTTCATTATTAGAGAAATACAAATCAAAACTATAATGAGATATCACCTCACATCAGTCAGAATGACCATCATCAAAAACTCTACAAACAATAAATGCTGGAGAGGGTGTGGAGAAAAGGGAACCCTCTTGCACTGTTGATGGGAACGTAAATTGATACAGCCACTATGGAAGACAGTGTGGAGATTCCTTAAAAAACTAGGAATGAAACTACCATGCGACCTAACAATCCCACTACTGGGCATATACCCTGCGAAAATCATAATTGAAAACGCCATATGTAACCCAGTGTTCACTGCAGCACTATTTACGACAGCTAGGATGTGGAAGCAACCTAGATGTCCTTCAAGAGATGAATGGGAAAAGAAGCTATGATACTTATATACAATGGAATGTTACTCAGCCATAAAAAGAAATGCATTTGAGTCAGTGCTAATGAGATGGATGAAACTAGAACTTATTATAGAGTGAAGTAAGTCAAAAACAGAAAAACAAATATTGTATATCAACACACATGTGGAATCTAAAAAGATGATACTGATCAACCTGTTTGCAGGGCAGCAGTGGAGAAACATGCATATAGAACAGACTTAATGTGTCAGGAAGCATTTAACAAGAGGCTTCCTGTGTGCTGTTTTGGATCTGTCAGGAACCCTTTGGCCCTGATTAATTTCTGAATATTCAGGAATTAAGAGGAGAGGCATGCCTTTCCCGGGGCTGAGGAATCCAGGCATTTCTCATTATGGTGATAAGTACCCTCTTCCTTTTTATGAACCATACAATAAAAAGTGATTGCAGCTCTCTCTTTGATAGGGATCATCTTATGTTTTGTATATCTGGAATTTTAATCTTTATATTTGCTGAGAATAACTACCTTGTAAGACAGTATATATGCCCACACCATGTTGATTAAAACACCTTTGCTCCATCAGAGCTTGGGTCCCCGTGTCTGTCTTTCTCTCTTCCTCTCTTCTTCTCGTTATCTCTCTATTTCTGGCTGATTCCCTGGAACGTGAAAGCCGGCTGCGTAACCCAGGGAATATTAGCCTCTTTAGTTCTTTCACTCTCATCGTCGACTCCGGACCACCAGGTTCCGGTCCATTAAAGGACCAACAAGTGGCACCCCAACAGGGACTTGGTACACGTGACAAGATTCAGACGGAGTGACCCCTAGGGCCTATTGAGGCTGGTAAGTATTAAGACACGGGTCAATCGGCTGAAAAGCCCCCTCACTTTTCTACTTTACTTCAGCACTTATTTAGAGTTCAGAGATTTTCGGTTTCACACTAGAGAATAGAGGCTTGCCTCCAGACAGTGGTTGAATATAACCCTTGGTTCCCTAATGAAGGTAGTTCAGATAGATTTCTGGTCCCTATGGGCTCTCATTAAAGCTGTGATTCTGCCATTTCAAGGTAATTCTAGCCCTCATAGTATTCGGCAACAGGCAAAACACTTATTGCATAAATATAAATTAGACAATGATACCTTACAAAAGGCCCAATTAAAACAAAAGATATTTCAGAATTTTCCTACCAACCCTGCCCCGGTTGCTCCAAGCGTTCCTCCCTTGCTGGAGGGCACATATCCCAAAGTCTCTCCCTTTATAAAACCTAATGTAAAGTAATTAGCCTCTAACTAATAAAAAAAAAAAAAGAAAAAAAAAAGTAAAACCTAATGATTCTGACAACGACTCCCTTAAGACACCTTTTAACATTAAAACTGACAACACCTTTCTAAATAACAATAATCTACCCCCTTCGCGACAGAGGCTCTCTGAATTGCTGGCTTTGCAATCACAAGTCTCTAAAGCCAATGGTTTTTCTGCCTTTCCAGTTTTAAGAAATGCTGACGCTCAAGGGCAGATAATACTTCAATATAAAGGTATTAACCTTTTTCACATGCAACAAATAAAAAAGGCTGTAACTATGTATGGCCCACATTCACCTTTTTCTAGAGAGACTCTGAATGCTATGGCGTCTTCTATTGACACCTTTATTCCCTATGATTGGCAAATTTTTATAAAATCTCTCCTTAAACCAAGAGAGTATCTTCAGTGGACAATGTGGTTTCAAGATATAGCCAGAGATCATGCTAACAAAAATGCTTGAGCTGGCACTCCCCAAAATCAAATTACTTTTGAGATGCTAACTGGCACCAGACAATTTGATGCTATAAAAGCTCAAATATGTTGCCCTCCTTTGTTTCATGATCAATTAAAAACAGTGGCCCTTAAAGCTTGAGATCAAATTACTCCTCAAAGAGAGCCAACAGGTAGCTGCATTAAAATATTGCAGAGACCTAATGAAACATATGCTGATTTCTTAGCTAGATTAAAAACTGCTATTTCCCATACAGTAATTGGGAAAAAAACTAAAAGACAACTAAAAAAAAAAAATTACTTGCTTATAGAGCTGCAAATCAAAAATGTCAAAGGGCTATAGCCCCAATGTGTGAAACAGACTATTTTTGATTATTTGAAGGCTTGTCACAATATAAGATCAGAAACTCAAAAGATGCAAATGCTAGCTAAAACAAAAAAGGAAAATACCCTAAGAAAGAAAAATGAAAGATGCTTTACATATAGAGATAAAAATCATTTTAAAAAAGACTGCCTTAAAAAAGTTAAAAAAAAAAAAAAACAACTCCAAAAATCTGCCCTTGCTGCCATAGAAAAATACATTGGGCCAAAGAGTGTAAATCTAAATTTGATATTAAAGAAAAACCTATTCCGAAAAACTCCAAGCAAGAGACCCCCCCCAGGTCCCCTTCAACAAAAATCAGGGACAAATTCCATCTTCTCCCTCAAACCTTTAACATCCGGCAGTGCTGCCGTCGATATACCAGCCCTAAACTCCTTTACCCTCAAGCAGTCCCCGCTAAAATACCTACTTGGCCAATCTAGTTTGACTTAACAGGCAAAAAGGCCAGGGGTCTCCAAATGGAAAAAATAGGCTGCAAGTGTCAGACATTTTTAATCTCTCTTAAGCAGCAGGAGGAAACAAACTA